TTAATCGATTATTCGAATGAAAAGCGGCCACCACTAGATGAATGTAAAACGTCATTTCAAATATTAGGACCATACATAAATAATGATACAATTTAAAAGGGACCGGGACTAATCACAAATTACGTCCCCACGGTAACTGAAATAAACACGAGTGTTCACCGGTTGAGTGTACTGCCCATCACAGTATACTCGAAAGATGGCGGTAGTGTTTTAGTGACGATGTTTTACGGTGATAAATGGTAAATGTGTTATGTGTGTTTGTCTGTGGTAGCGGTTAAGAAATGTGAAGCCATTTTTTCGATCTCGTTTAAGATTTTTTTTTCTCAAAACCCACTCCTGGCACCCTTGTTGTTGTTCTTCGCAATTCAAGCTTATTGCTTATCGCATTTTAGCTTATTGCGTGCTCCCAACTTAGTGTTCTAGAATGCACTTCCACAGTAATAGTTGAGAGCTTTCGCGATGTGTGTACCATTTTTGCATTAGTATAATTGTGTGGCAAGTACAATTATACCCTATGAAAAAATCCTAGACCGGACCGGGAATCGAATCCAACCACCTCCAGCATGGTCTTGCTTTGTAGCTGCACCTCTACCGACTGAGCTAAGGGAGACCCCAAAAACACCTGAAACCCATTGGCGAAGCTACTGGGGGTGCCAAGGGAGGCAGGCCCCCTCCCGAATTATGTAGACCCGAGAATTATTTTCTACCTCCGACAGGGAGAAGAAATTCCCCTGAGGAGGTAGAAAAAATTCCTCCGAGGATAGATGAAATTCCCCTGAGAGGATAGATGAAATTCCCCCGAGAGGGTAGAAGAAATTCCTCCGAGAGGGTAGAAGAAATTCCCCCGAGAAGGTAGAAGAAATTCCTCCGAGAAGGTAGAAGAAATTCCTCCAAGAGGGTAGAAGAAATTCCCTCGAGAGGGTTGATGAAATTCCCCCGAGAGGGTAGAAGAAATTCCTCCGATAAGGTAGAAGAAATTCTTCCGAGAAGGTAGAAGAAATTCCCCTGAGAATTTAGAAGAAATTCCTCCGAAATGGTAGAAGACATTCCACCGAGAGGGTAGATGAAATTCTCCCGAGAGGGTAGAAGAAATTCCTCCGAGAAGGTAGAAGAAACCCCTTCGAGAACGAAGAAGGAATTCCTCCGAGAATTTAGAAGAAATTCTTCCGAGAAGGTAGAAGAAATTCCCCTGAGAATTTAGAAGAAATTCTTCCGAGAGGGTAGAAGGAATTCCCCCGAGAAGGTAGAAGAAATTCCTCCGAGAAGGTAGAAGAAATTCCGATGAGGAGGTAGAAGAAATTTCTCCGAGAGGGTAGATGAAATTCCCCTGAGAGGGTTGATGAAATTCCCCCGAGAGGGTAGAAGAAATTCCTCCGATAAGGTAGAAGAAATTCTTCCGAGAAGGTAGAAGAAATTCCCCTGAGAATTTAGAAGAAATTCCTCCGAAATGGTAGAAGACATTCCACCGAGAGGGTAGATGAAATTCTCCCGAGAGGGTAGAAGAAATTCCTCCGAGAAGGTAGAAGAAACCCCTTCGAGAACGAAGAAGAAATTCCTCCGAGAATTTAGAAGAAATTTCCCCAAGAGGGTAGATGAAATTTCTCCGACAAGGTACAAGAAATTTCCCCGAGAGGGTAGATGAAATTTTCTTGAGAGGGTAGATGAAATTCCCCTGAGAGGGCAGAAAAAATCCTCCGAGGATGTAGAAGAAATCCCTTCGAGAATTTAGAAGAAATTCTCCTGAGAAGGTAGAACAAATTCCGCCGAGAAGGTAGAAGAAATTTCCCAGAGAGGGTAGATGAAATTCCCCCGAGAGGGTTGATAAATTGCCCTCGATCCTCAATTAAGGAGACTAAGAGAGGGGAAGAATGTAGTAGATAGAGTTAGTGTGGAATAGAAATGAGGAGAATCGTATGTAAACGGGTTCTGACTGGTTCAGGAATTTTGATACAGCTAGAGGTATAATTATGAGGTACCTAAGCTCGTTGACGGCATTCTTATGATGGACTGTGGAGAGAGCGGACGACCAGCAAAGGACCACCAGGAAAAAGGATAGTGGCACTAGCGGACCAACAGAGGGAGCAGCAGATTCGTGGAACCGTGACCGAGGCTGGAAATCTCGGTCCAGTCACGACAAAATTTAGTAAGCTTTTAATGCTCCCCCAATCGAGGTCCCAATCATTGCTATGAAATAAGTACATATAATCAAATTTATTGTTTCACCATTAAAATAAAAGCAAGCCTCAATGTCAAAAAAAAATGGCATCTGGCATCCTTGTAGCACATTACTTACACTGATAAATTTAACTATTCTCATGTTTCTTAAAATTTAATCCATTTGGCTTTAAACTCAGTTTAATCATATCGAATGATTAAAAATTAATTATCTCTTTACATAGTTGAAGATGCTAAGCGTCAAATAACAGACATAAAATGGCCATTTTATACGATAGATGACGAGATGAAGGAGATGTATAAAGCTGATAGTTCCGTTAGAGTACGTTAGAGTGTTAAAATTGTATATAGAGAGTAGAAAACGAGCAAGGACAACTTGGAGGAAGGTACGAATCGGGTTGATCATCTCTCTTTACCAAACTCCCCAGTTGGAGAGAGATGGTGAGAGGGGTATCCCCACACCACCACTGACAAAAAGCGATGATCACCGATTTGCTCATGTACCTACGATGTGTGAAAACAGTTCTGAAGGGAGGCATCTAGTCGTAGGTTTGGAAATTGCAGCTATTATTACCTCCTGTCATCGTTGACTTGACGATCTCGAGGAAACACGGGTAGGGGAGGTGCTGCTACTGTACCTTTCGACTAAAGGTTTTCGGTACAGGTACAGTAGCAGAACCTCCCCTACCCGTGTCTCCTTGAGATCGTTTTTCCTCGTCAAAGAGAATGAAAAGTTAAAGCAAAGAGCGAGAGAACTTTGTTTAAATCAAAGCAATTCTCTCGAGAAAAGCAGCCATGATAATTTCTTCTCTCTCGATTGTGACAGCCGATAATTTCGATTCATTTTCGCGACTGGTTCTTTTTATCTTGTTTTGGTTTTAGTTGTCACAAACCAGCATTTTATAACACGTTTCTGATCAGCTGATTTTTCAATTTATGAATGAATTTTGACACGATGCAGTAACCTAACAAATGTGAGATGCAACATCAATATCATCTAATTATGTCAGACAAACTGGCTCTTGTGATGTTCCATCATAAATATCTCGCTGTTTAAATGGTTGTGCTACGTTAAACTCCATCATACATTTAAACAGCAGGCATACAAAAGAGCCGACAAATTCATATCGACTCATCTGTTTACATTACATTGGGCTCAAACGCTCATTTATTGCACTTTTGCTCGGACTCCAGCAACACACTATCGAATAGTTTCGGTGTTCAGTGGGAGATGAAAAAGTAGACAGTCGATTCTCTTCATCGATTTTCTCTTTGCATTGCTACAGCTAAGCGAAACAATTTTCTAGAACTTGTTCAATGCACAGTTGTAACAGGTTATATTGCCTATCAAAAGCAATAGCAAACGCACCGAGAAACGTTAAATCTAGCGAGTTATTAACAAAAGAGAATCGATCATCGCGTTTACGCCCTTATGCATGCTCACTGTCGAAGTGTTCTCACCGATTTTGAGAGAGCGATATTTTCATGATTCAGATGGGAGAGGAAAATCAAGAATCGTTGAAGAATGAGGGCTGAAAATATTGTCGATTCTCAGCTCTGCCAAACGCAGCTTTGAATGATCTTGCAGCTGAGTGAGAATTTCGATCTCTGCTTTTTACGACTGAGCAAACCTGTCATGTCTGGTTTTTCTTCAAACGGAATATATGCGCTACAAAAGACATCTTATTTCGAGTGTTGCCGACAATCGACAGCTGGTTAACACGCCAGTTCAAATGGAAAGCTAGCCGTAGAAAAAGAGGCTGCCGACAATAGTCACACGCACCGGAGAAGTTTGGAGCGTTGTATAAATGTTTCAACCCGTTTTGGGGAATTCTGTCGATTGGAATGGATAGAATAGCAAGCAGTAGATAAATGTAAAACAAAAAAACAAAAACATCATAAGGGAGCGTGGCGCTGTGAAATTGCTAATAGAAGTACGGACGCTGCTTCGATTGACGAGAATACGTAGAATCCCCTAGTTTACCATTTTTTGAGTAGGTTCAGCTTTGACCCATCTGGGTGGATTCTACTCCACCGTTAGCCTCATGTTCGACTATCCTTTCCCTGCTGGCTGATGATGAAGCAGCCGTTACTAATTATATCATCGATACCATTCAAAACCCCCTATAGTCATGGGAGATATTAAGCCATTGTACAGGAGGTCTATAATTATGGGAAATGCTCGTTCTTCTTCGAATTGTCACTTCAAACCATCAATCAGTGGGCGCCCACAAGCTCCGGATATTGAACAATTGTTATTCGGGCTTTATCCATTTCACCATTGACAATTAATTACTTTTTTTCCCGAATACAATACTATCCCACTGACGATAATTACCACGAACGAACGAGCTGTTCCATAGCAAAACGACCGCCAAACCTCCCACACATATTTTGGAAACGCTTCATAAAACAGTAGCCACGCTAAAGCTCATACCGAGCTGGTGGAGTAAAAATAGTTCCATAGCCTTCTTGGATGACGACAAGCAGGCGGTGGGGCATGGCTTCGAGGAATGAAAAATTCAAAAATGATCCTATTCCGTGTATCCTTTCGAGGTCGTCGGGACAATGATGGCTTTGTTTCAATTTATGTCACCGTTTCCGAACAAAGTCACTGTGAACCATGTCAGCTGCTGGTTTCTTGCGTGCACTTGATTAGTTTGCCACATTACTTATCGAAGGGGGGTCACTGTCGGTCAAGCAATCGTCCTCCTGGTGCTCAATCAGAGGATGCAAACGTGAGCACGCAAAAACAAATGCAAACCATGACGGGGAAAAATCGATAGGCGAAAGATTGATGCTTCGCTGAAAAGTTTTGGCATTACCTTTCCCATAGCACCAGCCCGTGGTCGTCCAAGGTCGGAATCGTATGCTGTGGGTTCAATTCCACAAAGTCCGGTTTTAATTGGTCTCCTTCTAGAACGTTCAGCTCCTTTTTGTCCAATTCGACGCCTATCATCCGGGTCAGGAGTAGAACCGAGCGGCACGGTGGCGAGGGAGGCAAATAATACAACACCGGTGTCATCTGGCCCTGCCTGGAAAAGAGGCATACATATAATTACAATTTTAAGTTCTTCATCGTCGAACGGTGGTAACGGTGGGTAATTGAAACTTCCGGTCATGCAGCTGACCACACGCAACAAACTCACTTGGCAAATTTAGACTGAATCACAGCAACACTCTCGATGCAGTTCCCCAGTTTGACGGACGGTTTTCGGATCGCAGTTAGCCACGAACTCAAACTACGCGCGCGCTACGCAATGTCTACTGTGGTGAAAATGTGGAAAACTACTACCCAATAATCCACGACCTGTCCAAAGGCTAGCCGACTCGAGCCGTCGTCGTCGTCGTCGAAGCAACTGATACTCTGACCAAAGCGCGAACTATCAACCAACCAGAAGCCGAACAAATACCATGCCGTACACCTTTTCGATGGAATACATTTGACTTTTCCTTCTTGCCACCCTCGCCGCCCCCAAACCTAGAGCCCCTCAGGGAAACTGGTAGGCAGGGAGGCTCGCTTGTTTTCATTTACTATAATCCATATTATTATTATTTTTAATAAAGCACCCCGATATCGTGGCAGTTCCGTTTTCCTTTTTGCTTCAAACTGCAACAATGTTTGGTCCGGTTGCCTAGCAGCTGCGATTGCTACACACGAGTTTGTTTTCCGCCGACTTTGGTGGCTTCAACTGAGCGGGGGGTGGAAGTGTTTAGGTTTTTTCTTACCTCGATGGTAGTATTTATCGTGGCGTCATTGATCCGTGTGCGGGGATTCCAATGGGGTTGTAAAGCTCTATTTTGGTTGGGGATTTTTTTCTCAATCAAGAAAACTTTTCACCTGACATTACCTCTACTTTATTAATCACTAATTCTAAAGGAAAATATTACAAACTTCACTGATTTAATCCGGAAGTAGCCTTCCGCGCGGTGGCCACCCGAACCTCTTTGTTCAAAGTCTGGAACTTGTCGATGGCTATTTTGACGAAATCCGCAGCACGCTTCACCCGTTCGGCGGTGACCTGTTCTCCGAGAGCGGTTATAACTTCCTGCGTTGCCTCGCTGGCGCCCAGTAATTTTGCATTACGGAAGGACAGGGTACAAAATGGGGTAAAGAAGCAGAGAATCGCCGTCGTGAGCGTTCCCAAAGCAACGGCACCGATGGATCCAAACACGAACGACAGCAATTGTCCAAAGAAGACCGCAATCGTACGAGCCGTTGGCATTCCCGTGCGAAACGAATTCATGAGGGATGATTTCTCCACCGGCGTCGCCGGGACCAGGTAGGCTTGGAACGATTGCGAGGGAATTGCAGCGTATGCGGTTGGGTCGTAGGGTACGAATCCTTGTGCATTTTGGTAATTATGACCGTTATACGATTGGACGTACTTTTGGACCGCATCCTGAGGAACGAACTGCTGGTAAATCGTCGGATCGTAGGCTGGGTTCTCCAGTGACGGTCTGGCGGTCGTTGAAAGCGATGCCTGCTGCGGGTCCGCCAAAACTCCCCACACCAAACTCAACAGTAGGCTTAGAAAAACAATTTGACACATTTTCAACAAGCACGTGTTCCCGGCAGAACTATCACGTATGAACTGGTTTTGCCGGCCGGGAGGCGAACGTCTCTTATAGTGCAAAACAAAGGATAACAAAAAAGTGCATCTCTCCGTCCATCTCGCCTTTCTGGAGCCTGGACGAGTTCCGGGAAAGATTTACAACTATTTTCAATTAAGGTTTGCGCTTGTATCTAATGGAATTCAAGCGGTGTTGCCACAGGGATGCAATTTTTTAGGAGTTATTTGGATGCGTCCTTTGTGCCTTTCTTATCTCCTTCCGCCGCTGACCAACAGCGGCAGGTAGCAAAATCGCATTCTCGGTTTCATGTGTGGCTCGTTTTGAACTAATTATATCTTATTTCGATGGAGTCAAATGGATTTGGTTCATTTTTGTTTTAGGCTGAGAAGATTAGAAAGCCAAAAAGGCAAAGGGTAAAAAAGGACATTCTACCTGTCCTCTGCACTTGTGCAACCTGTATTAACGCTGTAACCGCTCAAATCGTTGCAACATTACTCACACCAGAGATAGAAGTAGATGCAGTTTGAATTCTTAGGTTGATTTTACCGGCCTTACATCAAATTTAATTCTTTTCATCCATATCCCATATTCCGTTCAATATTCCAATTTTGAGTAAACAGCTTAAAGTAGTTTACATGTAGTCACGGCAAGATATTACTTACTCACAAAGTTTATTCAACCTAAAATTAAGTTCAATTGACTCAAATTTGATAATACATCAAATTATTGAACGATAGTCATGATTCAGTCGTCAGTCTCTCGTTTCTTTTTTGACAACAATAAAGTGCCCAAAATAAAGTTAACAGAACTAAATCTTTGGTTTCTGTGTAGATTGTTTGAAGATTTTGAATAACGATTGACAATTCAAATGACAATTCCAAAAGATTGCTGACCACAGTTCCAAGAAAATTTTGGCAAGAGCTTCAAGGAAAACCTGTCTGTGCTTTTCCTAATAGTAGGAGGAAATGACTCCGCTTTTCGTAATCCAAATTTGATTTCGCTTTTCCAAGTAAAATTCAGATGAACCCACGACTAAAAATCTCCCTAATGAAGTTTAAAAAAAAAACATGTAAAATTTGACTTCGTTTCTCGTAATCTAATCTCGATTGCACTTATCCATAAAAAATATTATTTGCCTTCTCGTAATCCGAATTCGATTGCACTTCTACTGGTGAAACTGTTATAAACAGGCCTATTCTGCGCGGCATGTGAGGTGAGGTGACAGCGAATTGATGGTGAAGTGACTTTTCATTTAATTAGCCAGGGATGGATCGCTCTTTTGGGACTCAGAATCTGTATGGCTACCGGGGGATCGATCAATTTGGTGCTGAGATATATTTGTTCAACTAAGGGCTTTATGCATATTCTAAAAAAATCGCAGAGCTCTAGATCTACTTTCAGAAAATGAAAATTTTTCCGGTAATTTCAGATATCTGGCGACCTAGTGCAGAATCTCTATTGGCGTTGACGGCACCGTCGAAAAATTTGCTCTTTCAGCAAATATAGACAGTTTCTTATGGGAAATTTCGGTGGAGTGAAAGGATAGTACTAAGTCCGCCATGTTTCACCCACAGTCTGACGTTTGCTTATGGATTTTCTCATAGGAGTAAAGAGCTACAGAGTCGCCGTCAACGCCAATGGTCCTCTATACTCAAATACATACACGCAAACCAAAAATCTATTACAATGAATGTTAGTTCCAGTTCCTATCATCCTCTGTTCATGAACATCGCAACGAATGTTAGCAATTGACCATGCAGGCGATGTAATGGTTTTTTGTCTTTTTTATTTCGTGTTCCATCTACGCTTTCGACTATACCAGTAAGCTTGTAGAACGACGCACATTGTAGAACATTGTAGAACGACGCACACACTTGTCTCGAATCTCTCCAGTAGAAAAAGCATACGAAGTCGAGCATGCGAGAAAATGAGCGCTTCATCTTTGCTTTTAGGCTGACCATATTCAGAAGCATGGAGAGAGCAGTGGAGAAAGCACAGGTCCGATAGTCGCAACGTCCGTGGTTCGAGTCCAGTCGGCAACCTTTTTTCTCTTTTTTTCGACAATTAATTATAATTTCACTCACTAATACAACTCCACATTTTTCGGTCTCCAATTTTCTTACATCGGACCGCAGCTAGGTATATCGCATCCTCGGTTCATGCGGTCTCCACTTACATCCTCTGATGATGAATCCCACATAATTGTAAGCGAATCTTACATCCACCGGTTGGGTGTACAAATCGCAAATCTCTAGGACTCCTTTTAAGAATAGATCACTTTCCCGATGAATCCAGATATCCAGAAGGGTGTTCAATAGCCACCGGGGGACCAAATCATGCCACTGAGATATATCGTCTCAACTAAGGGTTCTTCACATTTCCTAAAAATCGCGGTGCTCTAGGTCTGCTTTCAGGAATTTACCATTGTCCCGGTAAATCCGGATATCCGCAAGACCGCCTTCAAGCCATCCGGTAGCAGAATGGATATGGTTATGACATATTTTCTCTATGCTCATGATTGTATGCAATTTGGAAAAAAATCTCGGATCTCTAGGAATACTTTAGGAATTGACCGTTTTCTCGGATATTCCGGATATCCAGAGACCCCTCGGTGACAGAATTGATATGGTGATAGCATATTTTATCTATGCTCATGATTGTATGAAATTTAGAAAAAAATCGCGAATCTTTAGAACTACCTTTAAGAATTGACCATTTTCCTGGTGAATCTGGAAATATGGCACTGAGATATATCTTCTCAACTAAGGGTTCTTCACATTTTCTAAAAAATCACGGATCTCCAGGTCTACTTTAAAGAATTGACTATTTTCCCGGTGATTCCGGATATCCAGATGACCATATTCCGGCCACCCACTAGCAGAATCGATATGATGATGTCATATTTCTTCTATGCTAATGATTATATGCAAGCTAGAAAAAAATCGCGGATCTCTAGGTCTACTTTCTGGAAATGACTAGTTATCCGGTGATTCCGGATATCCAGGGGACCGTTTTCTGGTCACTTGGTTGCAAATTGATAGTGTGATGGTATATTTCCTCTATTCTTATGATTGTATGCAATTCAGAAAAGATCACGCAGATCTAGGAATACGTTTAAGAACTTACCATTTTCCCAGTGAATTCGGATATCCAGAAGGGCGTTCAATAACCACCGGGTGACCAAATCAATATGGAATTGAGATATATCTGCTTAACTAAGGGTTCTTCATATTTTCTAAAAAAAAAACACGTCTTCTTTTTAAGAATTTTCCATTTTCCCGGTGATTCCGGATATCCAGCGGACCGTTTTCAGGTCGCTTGGTTGCAAAATCGATATGGTTAAAGGGTGATACGGTCAAAATTTGGTCAAGGGAAAACGCGTGTAAATCGGTGAAATCGTTTATCAAATTAAATTTCTTTTTCAAGTTCAATTAGCATAAAATTCAGGAAAAATATTCAGTTAGGCTTCCGCTTTTCCAAATCCGAATTGCCGGGCCTTACGCTTGACCCCTGCCATCAGATTTTGTAAGCCACCTTGTCCACCTTCTTCGCCGCAGAAAGCCAGTTTGCCTTGAACTGCTGCTCGCCCTTAGCAGTTTTTTTGGTCTTCTTTAGGTTCCGCTTGACAATAGCCCAATATTTCTCAATTGGGCGGAGCTCTGGCGTGTTGGGAGGGTTCTTGTCCTTGGGAACCACCTGCACGTTGTTGGCGGCGTACCACTCCATGGCCTTTTTACCGTAATGGCAAGATGCCAAATCCGGCCAAAACAGTACGGAACAACCGTGTTTCTTCAGGAAAGGCAGCAGACGTTTATTCAAACACTCTTTCACGTAAATTTCTTGGTTGACAGTCCCGGAAGCTATGAAAATGCTGCTTTTCAAGCCACAGGTACAGATGGCTTGCCAAACCAGATATTTCTTTGCGAACTTTGACAGTTTCATGTGCTTGAAAACATCTGCTACCTTTCCCCTTCCTTTTGCCGTATAAAACTCCTGTCCCGGAAGCTGCTTGTAGTCGGCTTTGACGTAGGTTTCGTCGTCCATTACCACGCAGTCAAACTTCGTCAGCATCGTCGTGTACAGCCTCCGGGATCGCGCTTTGGCCGTCGTATTTTGTTTATCATCGCGATTTGGAGTCACTACCTTCTTGTAAGTCGATAGTCCGGCTCGTTTTTTGGCTCGATGCACGGTTGTAGACGATACACCCAGTTTATTTGCGGCATCTCGGAGATAGAGGTTAGGGTTTCGCTTGAAACTACCGGCAACTCTCTTTGTCGTTTCAGCGGCTTCCGGTTTTCGATTTCCACCCGATCCAGACTTCCTGGCTGTCGACAAACGTTCCCCAAACACTTTAATTACATTTGTAACGGTTGATTTGGCAACTTTTAGCGATTTTGCCAACTTTGCGTGCGAGTAGCTCGGATTTTCGCGATGCGCGAGCAAAATTTTGATACGCTGCTCTTCTTGCTTGGACGGCATTTTTACAACTGAAGAGTTAATTCCAAAATCAAAATAGGAGCAACATTCTACACACACACACCTTCAAAATGAGGGGTGTTCAGGTTTTTTAAATGCAAAATTGAAAGAAATACTTCAAGTTGATATTGACCAAATTTTGACCGTATCACCCTCTATGCTCATGATTGTATGCAATTTAGAAAAAGTTTGCAGATCTACTTTCAGAAGTTGACCCTTTTTCCGGAGAATCCGAATTTCCACAGAGCCACATTTCACGGGTTTTATCGTTCCGATTGGCCACCCACAACTCCAATCGGTTCCTTGTCTGTTCCGTTTGAAAGTAGATAGTCCTGTCATGTCAACATGAATCGCATTTTGCTCGGGACTTTTCCGGGTTTATCCGTTCCGACTGGCCAATAGACTGATGCAAAATTTGAAATTTTCGCTCCACAGTGCTTAAACGATTCCAAATGGGGTCCTGGTTAGCCTTCCAAAATTTGAACTACTTTAGTAAGAAACTGACTTGGCACAAACCATTTCAAGTTTATATGAGAATTACTATGGGAAAACTTATGTTTTTGTTCATATCTATCTAACAATTCACCACATCACTATGCTTTTAAAAATCATAGCAGTGATTGTAGAAAATTTTCTCAGCTAAAACTTTGGTGAAAACCACTTTTCAATCAAAAGTAAGGAACAAAAGTTAATAATAATTCAAGTCACTGATGTGTTATGATTATGCTCAATCAACTGTTCAGCAGGCAACATTGGTGTTTCTGGTGCGAAGAATAGAGCACAAATATCATGGCTTCTATGTTACACTGCAGAATACAGTGTTACCCACAGAACACCTGCTTGATCATGCCATAAGATTATCAATCTCTTAAACAATTAATAACAATTTAATTTGACATTTGACTGAAAAACGGTATTGCGCAAAGTTGTAGCTCAGAAAATTTCCCGTAAGAATAGTTATAGCAATATGGAAAATAGGTAGCAGACAATGAACAAAAAGTTTGGTTTTCCCATAGTAATTTCCATATAAACTTCGAATAGTTTATGCCAAGTCAGTTTCTTTCCAAATGAGTTTAAATTTTGGGAGGCTAATCAGGACCCGATTTGAAACCGTTTGAGCACTGTGGAGCGAAAATTTAAAACTTTGCATCAGTCTACTGGTCAACCACAGGTCCAATTTAATGTTTACCTATTGCAAACATAGATAGCCATACCTTTTGAATGATGGCTGAATCGTAAAGATTGGACATCGCATTGCTGAGAACCAGCCATGTCAACTATGAATCGACACGCATTTTCCAGCCTGGCCATTGAGGAAGTTTTATTGGCTTGGGATTATGTCAGTTAATAGCCTCTAATTGTACATCGCCCACGTGCATCCACAGGATAAATGAGAATCTCCTTCCAACAACAGGATCATACAACCGGTGAAAAAATAAGCCATCCAACAGGAGGATGCCTCAATGAGTGGGGAGAAGAGCCCACCCTCTTTTCAGGAAATGTTATTTAAATAAATGGCATTTTCACTCTTCCCATCCATTTCGCTTCAATCGGGTGCACTGGTGGACCGTCCCGCCCCCAGCATTTAATTTTTCATATCAGGCTTAACATTTGAAATCGGCACAAAAGCTTTTGTAAACAAACTTTGTAAGGTCCTTTGCACGCGAACCAAAGTACGACCACGCAAACCAATACCACTTTCGGAAAGGTGAGAGTTGCCCCTACCCGATGGTGTTGTTGGGCGCATGGGCGTACTTCGGTTCGCGTGCAAATGGTCGTACAAATTTTGTTTACAAAAGCTTTTGTTCCGTTATCAAATGTTACGCCTGATATAATAATGGAATGAAAGTTAAAAGAAAAATAAAGAAAATATCTCACCCGATATGTTGCAAAGGAATCTATGACATCACGATTATTTCGAAGAGCTACCATAGATATGCTGCCGCTACTTCTTTAACCGATGTTAAAAACAGCACTCTCGCCTTTCGTTCCTCACAGAACCCCCATCAACCACGAAACACATTCTAGGTGCTCCAACTACAAGGACCTCAGCAGAGAACAAAAGGACTGCGTTCACTTTCCATCTCCAATCACTCGCGACACAACGGCTTCAGTTCGCCAGTACACAGTCTGTAAGACGCAGCGCCAGCTCGTCACCGGCCAAATGAACTCGCGACCAGCGTCGAAATCAGAACCGACAACTCCAGCGACCGAAAAGAAACGCGTCTAATAGCGGCCATAGCACACTTCGATTGTATTTCTGAAACACAACCTCAACGCACAAAGACGACGACGACAACATTAGATAAGCGCCTGTCGTCCGGGAGGTGGAACGCCAGCACGCAGCAAGCAAGGGAAGAAAAAATGCACACACTGAACTGCTAACGTTGAAAGCCAAACGCGAACTGTGGGAAATTTTTCAAAAGGCTTCTTGATGTAATTTGTGATAATTCAACTGTCAAACTTTCCGTTTCCGTTCCGCTTCCGTCCACATTGCGTTCGGGCCTTTACACTTATAGGAAGTTTTACGCAGCTCTTCAAAATGCTACGAGATTCGCAAAACTTCTATGAGTTGCGCTGAAGTTCCACGAACGAAATTTCTTGATTTTTTACGTAATTTCCACAACTATTCCAAGTCCATGAGGCTTCAAAAAAGTGCCCTGAAATTGACTTACTTGTGTTGTTTTCTGGCTATCAAATATATCTATACGATCAGTATCAGAGAGAGTGTGTAGAGAACCGAGGGAACACGAATTCAATAGGCCTTTTGGCTCATCTGGGGTACCTACTCTAGCTGATAAGGTTGATAAGCAACGAAAGGGTTGCATTGGAGAAAAAGAGAGACATCTATTCTAGCTGTATAATTTCAATAGGGTTCACTATCCAACTAATTCATCAACAACTTCTACGTAGCTCCTCAAAGTTAAATATTTTTTTTACGTCTAACTTGAAGTTTTACGAAGTTCCCAGAAGTTAAAGAAAAATCCCTGGGCTCATGACCAATTTGTAGAGCCTGTAGACGTCTTATTATGCCATCGATTAAATATCGATATAATATAATTTCACAAAACTGCTTCTTCTAGTTCAACATAAAGGACTTTAAAAAAATCTTTGTTTGTGGTTCAATTTTATTAATCACTGTTAAATAGTAACATCGAACTTGACAAGCTTAACCAAATACCGGTGAGTCAAAACTTAACAAAAACACCAATAAATCTGAGAGGGGGTCTAGATAATTCTGGAGGGGGCTGGTCCCCTTTGCCACGTCAACGCTCTTTTCCGCCAGATGCTCGGTCTTTGATGGTATCGGTTCAACCGGACTGGTTCTTCTAAAGAAGTACATTTTACTGAAATCGACTTCCCTTCAGTCGTTAGCATCTCTGGAATTTTTCAACCTGCCTCATCTATACTTCGAGATTTCCTTGTTAGAAAATGTGCTTTTATTCACTATGAGGATCCATATTTTGTTAACAGAGTAATTGGTTATTTTATGATTCCCTTTAAAACCCTAAAAACCAACAATACATACTTTTTGCTGTCATTTAAAACCGAATGGTTTTATGGTTGCTTTTATATTGATAGAACACGCTTCAAGAGTTTTTTTATCAAGGCATTAGTAAACAATGTCTGATGAAGTTTATGATTGATTTACTGAGCGATTGAGGACTGTTTAAATTTATTAAAAAAAAAAAGTTTTTGACTTTCTCGCAAGACTATAAAAGCACAGCCAAACAGACATAACACTTGTAAGTTGTTTATCAAACACGCATTAAACGGACAATTTAAATGTTTATTAGTTGGTAGTCCCGCCACCTGTCAATTGCCTTGAAGTTTATACACTGTTGCCATCTACCCACTGCTTCTTGACGCCAAACTCGGCCTACGGAATTTAAACTCGGCCTAACGCATTGAAACGGAATTAACTGATGGAAATACAAATTTTTCTAAGAGATGGCGCTGTATCCTTGGTAGTCATCATTGTAAATCAGTATGGAAGAAAAGATAAAACTATTTTTTTTGTTAAATATAAAAAGTAATCAATGATTGCAATGTTCGTGTGCATAGAGAAAATAAATATGCACCTGCTAGATTTTTTTTTTATTCTTTAATAATGCTGCATTTAATGTAGAATTAATTAAAACATTTCTGCCCATACATTTTATTGATGCCTGACTACCAAGAGAGTAAATTAATTTGCCTCTCTCAGCTCTCTCGCACACGCGCTAAAGAGCGAACTGTCACCCACTGTTTGTTTATTTTTGGATTCAATGAAAACGGGTCAGGTTTCCGGATCGTTTAAGTTTGTTTGAGTGAATCTTCGTTCCGTATAAAATGTCTGCGAAGACAAGTGGAATTGGAGCAAAAGGAACCGCTCAATGGTGTGGCTCAGCGGGACCAACGCCATGGCCAATACGAAGGTATGCCATGTTTTCTTAAACTTCCTGCGTGTACAGCGGTTAACATGTAGTTAAACCATTTATCTTCCGTAGGAAAACACCGTCTGCCAAAACTGGAAAATCGACCTGTGCTGAAGAATCAACGGTTACGTCGGATTTAAAAGCAGATGCATACGTCTTTCAGTCGCATCAATGATGGTAGTCAGCTCCTTGCTTTAAGGTTTCGGTAGATGTCACATAACTTTTGCGCTCGGTAGATATCCTCATGACTAATGCAGGACGGTCCAATAGAACAGATATTAGTAGAATAGATATTAGGGTGGCAAAAAACTGCAGAAACGACTTCCAGCGTTCAATTGAAACGCCAATGAATTCACTTCGGCCTATCGGATGAAGATAAAAATTGATTCGGTCAGAGCGCTTCTTTTGTTTTTCGGAATAATGGGTGCAAACTTTCATACCACGCGTTCTCATTGACTTCGTTCGGTAGCTTATTAACTAAAGTATTGTACCAAACGCATAATTGACTTGTTAACTCTGAAATCATGGATTTATTTGAAGTTTTCTGCTCGATAGGCCCAAAATGGGCGATTAGGTCGAAGCAGCTACTAACTAGGAATCTTTGACATTTTAAAATGCTGTATTTAAATTGATCATTGCCGTTATAAAATAGGATGGTTGTATCACAGTGGATGCGAAATGGCTGCTGAATTGTTACTTGGGTTTGAAAGTTTTATAGAGAATAAGAAGTAATCTACGAGTCTTAATCATGGTCCACATCATCCTCATAAAACCCATATTAATACTTGGATAGCGATGTGCTTTGTTGATAAATCGTGCCCTGACTGCCGAAGCTGGCATTTACCCTACATCATTTGTTCTGAAATAAAATGTATTCATCTTTGATAAAAAAAAAACGCTTCACAAACACACAGATATTGAAGTGGAAAATGCATTCAGTACAGTTTAAATTTTCGTTCCCCTAATAGTACATGAATAAAATTGCTTCCACCCGACCCTCCTTAGTGCATTTTCTTTCAACAACAAACAACAACAGAATTGAATCAGATAGCTTTCCCTTATTATTTCACACTCCATTGCCTGCCAAATCTCGCATTCTGGCACCGTACAAACTTCCTTCCAATGCAGTTCTATTTATTTCCACACCAAAAACAATCTGAATAAAATTTTCCATTTCCTCTTGTCGCCCTCCTTCCCTCCCTCCCTGCTGCATAAACTGAAGCAAAAACCTGAAAAAATTACAGTTCCTTTTTTTCTGGTCCGTCCCGTATCCCTCTTCTCCAATACCAACCGAAACAGATTGAATTTGCCACGTTCCCATGCCTCGGCGAAACAAAAACAACAGAAAACCATCCCCAGCCTGCTTGATACACATCCAAAAATACCGGCACCAAAAATGTACTATTTTTCACCGCCTGCTTCTCCCCGCTCTACCCGCGATGTCACCGAGCAACTCTCACTTGTGATCCGTTCGCTGGAAGCCGGAAATGTTCTCCGCAAAGTCCATGTAGTCAATCTTCTCCATCAGCTCACCGTCACGGGTTATCTGTGGCCCACGGGTCACCATCGCGTCCGCCAGGGCATCCTCCGCTTCCTCTGCCGTGAACCGATCGCCGTACGTCATGAGGTCGAACTTGAACCTTTACCAAATTGGAGCAATGCATGGAAAAAAAAAACTTTTCTAATTATTACTCCCTTCGGGAAGTATTTCCCTTCGAGGTCGGTTTGGGTCGGGTCGGGTACATACTTTTCCTTATCGATGAAACCGGTGTTGGCTCTGTCCCAGAAGCGGAGCGCGTTCACCATGACATCCTTCGGTGCAAGGCCGTTCGCTCGCTGCAGCACGAGCAGTAGGAAGACATCCAATTTCAGCGGTTGCACCACCTTTATAGCGACATAAAAAAAAAAGTTTGTAAATTTGAGAGGAACAAACAGCGAAGACGGATCCGCTTTAACGGCGGAAGTTTAATTGCTTTTTCTTGCAGTCACGTGACGGTGGGCAAGTGCTTGTAATTGGTTGAACATTTATAATTCAACAGTTCCATGAAAGTTCACAGTAACGGCAGATTCGAATTACGCTCTTCTATTTGATTTGACTTCATCGTTCATCGCCACTAATGTGCCTGTCATTATTTATTCACAGAAACCTCTGCTCTAATTTGAAATCGCATTCGCCCATTCTAACACCACATTTCAATGCACAAATCCGCAATTCAATCAATGTTTCCACACCAATCTACCTCAAGATAGACGTCACAATATTAAACCAACACACAATCCATCAAACAACAAACCAGGCTCTGACCGCATGGAAAATTCATCGAATCCTTATCAGCCTCACCGCCTTCTGATCTATTCACAATGAGCATAAAATAGGACTTTAATTACAATTTTCCACATCACGAAGCACATTCCCCCGCACTCTGTCTCGCAACTTACACCGTCGAACATTTTGATAAGCTCAGCTTCGGACTTTTCCAGCCCCAGCGTCAGGAAGGTGTTCTTCAGGTCCTGCTCGCTGATGATTCCATCGCCGTCGAGATCAAACAGACAGAATGCCTTTTTCAGTTCATACACTTTCGGTTCGTTGAGGTCTTTGAGGAAATCCATGCTTCCACCAGGCATCGTCGTTTGAAAATCCGTGGGAAAATTGTTCACTCGCAGCGGGGTGGAAATCGCGACAAACTGAAAAATGATTTCTGGAAAAGTGCGCTTTTATAGTTTCGAAGGGCGGAGGATGGACTGAGATCTGGATGATTTTGCTCTTGGATTTGCTCACCTCACTACGTGGCCGGACGCACTTGTTGCATGCCATTAACCCCCGTGCAGAATGCACTGAATTTGTTTCGTTTCAGTAATAGGGGAAGTTTTCTCGCAAAATTGGAAACTTTGAAACAAATTAGTAAAATTCTAACTTTTTAATTTGAATTATTTTCAATCTTAAGTATTCTTGGTAGGGGTGATATTTTCTTGTAAGAGCAAGTCATCTATGCGAGGAAGGTGCACAAGTACCCTAGCAAGTTTTATCGAGGTTTTAAAGCATCATATGGTCTACAGTATCCTAATAAAAACACAATTGTTACTTGGGTGGGAGCCCACGAGTCCTGCATATCAAAATCCATCATCACATGGGACCACTCACTACTCACAGAAAAATCCCAAAATCGCAAAGAGGCAGTCAAGCTTACCACTTAACCCAAGTAACATTGCAAGTTTTATCACAGTTTTAAAGAATTCTACAAGTCAAGATTTTCCCTATCCGATGGTTATGTTGGTCTGCGTGGGAGTGTCTTGAATTCCTAGAATGAGAACGACTCAAATTTGAGTTTAGTTCACTCATAATCGCCAAAAGTGCAGGAACTCAGCGATGAGTAAATTTGCCTCATGTTTTTCCAGGATTTTCCAGGGAAAAATTCCCGAATTTTAGAAAAGTAAAGATTGGATTCACTCAGTCTATTGGTACTAATCTGTGACTGAAAAAAAATTTCGTCAATTTCCTCATTTTCCGGCAGATTTTTTGGGTTTTTCACAGGAAACCATGAGACAAATTTAACTCATCGCTGAGTTCCTGCACTTTTGGCGATTAAGAGTGAACTAAACTCAAATTTGAGTTGCTCTCATTCGCCGTGTAGAAATGCGGCACAGTGGCAGCGGTACCAGCAATTTTAGTACAATTATTGAGTTCTCCAAGCAGGATGTCACGAACACTACACTAATAAAATAATTTTACACACACTACCGTATACTGTCATGTGCACGGTAAGAATCCAAGATCTATTTATGAATAAAAGTGAACCCATTGTCAATAAAAGTGACACTACTAATTAATGAGTAATTTATTATGCCAATTAAGTAGTAACTGTTAGCTACAGTTAGCAGAAACTCATTGTTGTTAAAATAATTTACTCATTAATGAGTAAATCCACTTTTATAAAAAATGGGTTAACTTTTACTCATAAAAGTTTATTTGACTGTTACCGTGCAATCGTAGGGTTTGTTTTCGTTTTGTTGTTTATTTATACTTTCTTCCTTCTTCTTCCTTTTCCTTTATTTAACGTCGGTCTCTGTTCCGCAATCTAGTGCCAATTAGAGTCGGTGTATAATGAGTCACGCCAAGAGTGAAGCCAAGTCTACCTATTGAACTGTCAAACCGGCTACCTATCGTGCAAAGAAAACAAACATTACGATGCTATGAAAGGTCCACGAAAGGTAATGCAATAAAATATAAAATATAATTGGAAAAATTATCATAATTACGCACTGAGCATTAAATTGTCATGGGATACGTTTGGCAATGATCAGTAATGAGAATTTCTACTATTTTTTGATAAGATAATTTGACAAAATTACTGATATAAGGATTTACTACAGCCGCTATTTTTTTTTCTCGCTAGTAGTCATTTGAAGTTGATGTAAAAGTCCTCTGTTGCCAAGTGAAAAGAAAGGGAATCTTTCGAAAACCGTGATGCGAGTTCAACTGTTTTTCTCTTGGCGTGACTCATTATACACCGACTCTAGTGCCAATCACCGACGGACATCGGTTGCCATCCATTGACGGCAACCGAATGTGCAGGAAGGCAGCTTCCACACCTGCGTATGATATCGCACCCACTCAACACACATGGGCTGGGACCACGCCACTGACAAGGCCTATACCAACAGCAGCGTTTGACAGTACACAGCAAAAAAAAAATGTAATATCGATCAACGTAATTCAAGCTGATGTATGAAATAATGATGTAATAGCAAAAAGTAGATACAATATTACATCAATGGATGTAATTTTGTTCGCAAAATCGATGTACATCGTACAATGTGATATTACACAACCGATGGATTGACCTGGTTGCATCAGTTTCGATGTAATATTCAACAACTTTTTTTGCTGTGTAGGTAGCATGTCCCGGACTCAAATCGTTTATTTTGCTGTGCTGGGCCCGCTGTCACGGTATAACATGTTGCCTACGCGCCTGCCACTGGGCCGGCCGGGACCAACGGCTTTACTTCCCTTCCGAATTATTTTTACTTTAGAATGACAGTTCTTAGAGCAATCAAAAAAATTCTCACAGCTAACAAAACATTTCATCTCACTAACACACGCAAATCGCACCAATACGAACCCGGCTGGAGTAAAGCCCTACAGTAAAAGTATGGACGTCTGTCAAAAGTTGTTCCAATCGAACCGTCAAAATACACCGCTTTGCTCGATTGGAACAGCTTTTTTTTCAGTTTTGTGGTGACAATCGTCCATACTTTTCCTGTAGGGCTTTAGGCTGGAGAGGACTATGCGCGTTTACCGCTGTGCCGCTGATATTGTGTTCAACCCTTCAGCAGGGTGGCCAGACCTACCGATTTATCGGTAGTCCTACCGATTTTTGGGATGCCTACCGATTCACAGACGAAAGGTTCAAAACTACCGATTTTTTACTTTTCCTACCGAGAATCACAGATTTTAAGGTGTTCCATTTGGTGAATATTTACTTAAACTTTATACATCGAAAATAAATTATAGTGTTCCCTGTTTACCCGCATAAACGCGAACCATAAATTGACCTTACCCAAAATGGTTAAAAATTGTTTATAATCCCTGCTAAACTTTAACTGAAATGGTTATGGAACTTTACATGAACGTTTAATGATAAAGTTTCAACCTTATGTATTATGGTTTTTTGGAACTGGACCTTACAAATAATGGGTTGTTAAGAACCATTACCATTCCAAATTCTTGTTTTCTCCATACATTTTCAGAAAGAAAACTATATAAGAACGTTTTTAGTTATGATTTGAGAACATTAATGGTTATGGTTATGGTAGTCAGTAAAGTCCATTAATGGTTTTGTATAATCGCTCAACTTTACGTGGAATATATCGTGAATTGGTAATCAGAAAATTACAGGCAACCAATTTGCGATATATTCCACATAAAGTTGATCGATGTTACAAAACCATTCGTGGACCTTACTGACTACCATAACCATTACCATTAAAGTTCTCAAACCATAAGTTAAAAGGTTCTAATATAGTTCTCTTTCCGAAAATGTATGGAGAAAACAAGAATTTGGAACGGTAATGGTTCTTAACAACCCATTATTTGTAAGGTCCAGTTCCAAAAAACCATAATACATAAGGTTGAAACTTTATCATTAAACGTTCATGTAAAGTTCCATAATCATTTCAGTTAAAGTTTAGCAGGGATTATAAATAATTTTTAACCATTTTGGGTAAGGTCAATTTATGGTTCGCGTTTATGCGGGTATTGTCCGATTTTTGAGAAGGTGTTTTTTTTTCAAGATTGATTCCTGATCGGTCAGAAATAAGTCTGTTGGAATAGCAGATTTATTTGAAATTTTAACATCTGTTAAATTTAAGTGAAAATTCACCATTGGAACACAACCTTAGTAATTTTGAAAAATGTTCAAAACCTATGTTTTGTTTTCCGTGTAGTCAGTCAGTTTGAACAAACGCGATATGTTGTGTAACTCCAATCCAACGTATACCCAACAAACAATTGCCTATTGAAGAAAACAACTTCTTGACGATTTTATTCCACTTCATGCTTAATAATACTTGTACTATTTTTAATAATAACTTCTGTTCAGGCTTTGTTCACACAAATCTGGAGAATTTATTCAACCACAACATCGACATATTTGGTGTTGAATAAGGTATGTCGAGAAGCTTTTATTCGACTTACAAAAGTTGTAACAGAGCTTATTCGATCAAATTTTTGATTATTCAGAGTTTATTAGACCATCTGTACTTCCTTAAACAGTGATTGTATAAAGGTGTATATAGACGCTTGATTCTCATGTGAAATAATGTTTAATTATTACATCATTATACATTTATTAAACGATTATTCAACTACGGGATAATTAATCCGAAAATAAGAACGGCACGAGCAGGGTGTTTTCGTTAGTGATTTTGCTGTGTCATTATATTTCTGTTGAATTTATTACATACATACATACATACATACACACATATGTCGTTAAATGGGATTCGAACCATGACCTTCCGATCACCAGCCGCTTGCCTTGCCATCTGAGCTATCCTAGAATACATCATATGAGCAGCTAAATGAGCAATAAAAGCTTGAATTTTTCAAACCTATCAGCACTTCCAGCCGTAGCTCTAGCTAATTCAAGGAGATGTGAGAATGATTAATTCATTCATAGTTGTTTAACATTAGACCAACGTTACCTCTCCATCTATCTAATTTCGATGGAAAGGATGCTATTCTTTTCAATAGATCTATGAATTGGTTGTCGTGAGTGATACGATTTATGATTACGATTTAAATTAATTAGGAGTAGAACATAAATAAAAAAAGGGTTGAGGCTGGTATTGAACTCGCGACCTTCTACTTGGAAAGCGGAAACGGTAACCACTATGCTACCAATTTCGTTTTGTTGTTAGCCTGAATCACTGTTGTGGAATAATGAATAAATACGCCGTTTGTAAAGCATTTATAAAGCATGCAATTAAAACATGGACGCATAGTGGAATAAGAGCTTTTATGCTGACTGTATTCACCTTTATTCAGCAATATTGTTAAGCAATTTAATGGAATCTAGTAATGGAGCTAGAAAACAATTATTAGACGTATAATAAAGCATGTTATTAAATCAATTGA